ATCGAATTTTTTTTTGTAATCCATGATAGAATTTTTTGAAATTTGTGATTTTTTTTTAATCCATGATCGATTTTTTTGAAAATTTGTTTTTTTTTTTTTAATCTATATTATTCAAAGAGAAAATGAGAGAGATGATGATTCTGAGGCCACCCTATCCCAGCCATATTATTCACATATCGAGTCCCAACAGCAACAGCGTAGGGATGAGCACGAAATACTATAAATTAAATGCTGAATGGCAGTTCATGCAGGGAAAGAACATATCAATATTCGCATATTCATTCAAAAACATGAAAACTCTTAATGGAGTACTCTCATTTTTTATTGAATTCCTAAAAAACAATATTTATAATGAATTTTAATAATTTTTTCGAATTTTTTTTAAGTTTTATTCTGACCGATTCACTTGATTCCCGATCCGGATCGTCGATTCGCCGATCCGAATCGGTTTTTTGGAAGCCCGATCCGAGTCACCGATCCGTTTTTTAAACCATTTGTTGAATGTAATGGTAGCTCTGTACTTGTAGCTAGCTTACTAGTACTAGTGACTGTAAGAGCTGTACTGACAGACACTGCTAGTGAGGTCCCCCAGACCAAACGATTGCTCCAGAAGCATTTGTCGATAGGAAACCATTGTAATGTCTTACTAGGTTTTAAGCCTTTTAGGTGGATTTGAGAGAGAGAGAGAGAGAGAGGAGGCCAACATCTTGTGTTTCCAGTCTTCACTGATCAGAGAGAGAGAGAGAGAGAGCTAACATCTTGTGCTAGCAGCTTCACTGATCAGAGAGAGAGAGTGAGCTAATAGCTTGTATTATGAGCTTAACCGATCGTACTTTGCCACTGATGAGATCTGTTCCAATCTATTTTGTCTTGGAGGGATCTTTTTATGTCATTTATTGATCAAACCATGATCTGCTCAAATAAGGGATCATCGAACCATGCAAGGTAAGATGGCATTCTTTTATTTTATTTTTTATTTTTTTTCGTTTTTGGGGGGGGGGGGGAATTTGAGCATTAAGAATTTGGTTACTAGTTTATTACTGTATCTTGATTTGTAGATACTCTTCATCTGCCATTTGTGTTTTGTGGCAGATTTTTGAGTGTTTATAGATCCATTCTAGTTGCATTATTTTTGGAACTTTAGATTTCATAATTAGGGGGTAAATAAATTTTCAATCCATCACAAAGATTTTCAGCACTGAAACTCCCCATCTTCCAAAAAGATAGTACAGTAGATGGTACTTGGATTATTTAGCGTTGATGCATTCTATTAAGTATAGATAAAGCCAAGGTAATCTTCAAATCACAGATCCAGTTCAAAATCCACATGTAATTTCCAATAAATTTTCAGCATCTTAGGATATGCGGTATAACTCAAAGCAAATTCTTTCACAAGCTGAGAAATAAAAAGGTCCAAAAAACATGGTGGCCATGGTCCATTCCACTCTATTTTGTCAATAGGACCACATCTTCCAGGCCGGGCCTGCAGTACAACACTGTTATCCCCCTGGTTCGATTCGTCCGACTAAAGGCACTAAAGGTTATTTATAAGTTTTGAAGAAATTGCGTTCAACCGTGCTTAGGAGCTGAGATCCCATTTAAGTGCCATGGCAAGGTCATTGAGAGGAGGCTTGGTGTGCCTCCACACATCCTCTTGTGCACCATCTGCTCCACACTCACTCTTCTCTCCACTGCCCCATTTATCTTACAAACATCATCTACATTATTACTATTATTAGCAGTGGTACTAGTTATGGCCTCTTGGCGGACTCCCATTAAACCCGCATTGTACAAGGGATTGTTGTCAATACAAGGCATATGGTAATTAGTATTACTGGCTTGAAAATCCATGGCACTTGGAGATGTTCCCCTTTCAACCATGTCCCTTGCCATCTTTACCTGAACAACATGAATCAAATGCATCTTGTAAAATATCAAAATTAGGTTGTTACCAGTGTTTCAAAAATTTAAATTTTTACGATTCTAGTTCGCAATTCCTGATACGCATCGCCTTTTGCCCAATTCTTTGGCAGAATGGGCGAGTATATTCAAGTCAGGATGATTCCCAATTTTCTAGGGAAATGGGCCTGGGTACCTAACCATCCCGATCCGAATGGCATATAAATCTCTGTGTCTCGATTTTGTACCTTTGCTCTGAGGGCTTCGACTTCAGACTTGAGTATCCTGTTGTTAGTGGCAGCGTTGCTATATTGGTGATTTATATCTGTGAACTGTTTGAATAAATCTGCATTTTCAATTTTCAATTGATCGACCTGTGGAAGCATAATGTTAAATTGGGTTGTCTGTGTATCACTAAGAAATAATTATTTCAGTGAAATCAGAAATAAACGCAGTACTTAGAGAGAGAGAGAGACCTGTGACTCAAGATCACTCAATTGAGCTTGCTTCCTTCTTCTTGATCTCCTCGCTGATTCTCTATTGGATTGCTTCCTACAATTCCATGAATCAAATTATCAAAGATTC